TGTACCCAGGAGTGGAATTGCTGGATCACAGAATATAAATGTATGTTCAGCTTGGAGAAATTTTCTTTATTTATTCCTTTCCATTCTGTGCAGTCTTCTTTCGAAATTCTGTCAGATGGCAAAAGGTTTGGATCTATCCTCGTTTTCTCTTTCCTGTCATGCTTTATATGTCTTTGCCTTTTTGTACTGCATTCTGAGAGAGTCTCTCAACTGAGTCTTCCTTCCATTTTATGAATTAGCTCTTCAACTGTGTCTGTTTTTCTATCCAGTACATCTATTAAGTCTTTCATTTTGGTTATCATATTTTAAATTTACAAAATTGCTAATAGCTTTTCTTCCATAACAACCTGCTTTTGTTTCAGAAGGGAAATAGCCCTTTGAATTCCTCAGAGGATACTAATTATTCTATTTTAAAATTTTATTCTATTTGCTAAATAAACCCTATTGTGTTTTTTTTTTTTCAGGTCCTAGTTCTTTTTTTAATATTTCATAACTTTTTTTTCAGAGTGTTCGTTTTCCTCAAAGATGAGTAGATTCTTGGTTGTTCATCTTTTTGTTTAACAATCCCCAATCAGAACCTTAGAATGTAGGTTCTACATTCTGTAATTGTGGGGAGGGCGAGGGGTAGGGCATGTGTTCAGGAGGCAGAGTATGCTATTGCTTGTCCTTCTAGACGTGGGGGCTCTCTGTCTCTCCAGAGGATCACTGCTTAGCACCCACACCTGCAACCACAGCCCATCCCCCTGTGAACTCCTGCTTCGTTCATTGCACAAACCTCTCCCAAACTCCTTCCAGAACCACATTATAGGAGGAGTGATTTATACCACGTGTTGTTCCACCCCCTGTTACTGTTTCCTTCATTTTCATGTGACTTTTCTGATTCTGATATCATTAACATGTGGAAAGGGCAACAGTGAGTGGTGCCGGCACAGGACCCAGTCCCAGAAGATGCTCTGCTTTATCCAGTTGAATTCGACCGTTAGTAGCTCATCTTACACTTACGGTCCCAAGAACATAATCATGCTGCAGCCTCCTCTTTACTGCTGTGCTGGCTGCTCTTGGTATATCTCCTGAATTCACTGACTTCACACATTCTGTATCTAATAAGACAACAAGTAGTATTTTCAAATCCTCTGTCGGAATATCTTCTATATACATTTCTGTCTTCTAAGACAATTGATTTCCCTTCTGAGCAATACTAACTGCCAAATAGTTGTGAGGCTAGAAGGAGCTTGCATATTGCAAAGTCAGAAAGAAAGTCAGTGTGGTTGGAATATAGTGAGTGAGGGGGAGGGTGGCATGAGGCGAGATTGGAGAAGTAGGCAGGGGCCAGGTCATGCAGGACCTCTAGGCCTGGGTAAGGAGTTAGGATATTTTTCTAAGTGCAAAGGGACTTATGACCTGACAGATGCCACAGCCAGCTCCTCTTCCAGTTTGCACTGGAGCTGGGAAGTCAGACCCCCTGCAAGAGGCACCCTGCTGCACACAGTGGGTGGGAGACCCAGACTCTGGCCTCTCTGGGGGCCCATCAGTGCTCTTACAACCTCTGCTCTGTTTATCTTTTGTTTCAGAGGTTGTGTTCTCATCTTACCCTGGATTTTCAACCTCACAGGTAGGAACTGCCTACTTTATATTTGTGTCCTTGAGTTAGAACATTAATGTTAATAAATGAAAATGAGTTCGTGGAGCCATGAGAAGCCTTGCTATATATCACACTGAGGAAGGCCATTCATCGGACAAATATTTACTGAGCACCCACCACGTGCCAGCCACTGTGCTGGCCACTGGAGGTACAGCTGTGAACTAGGCAGCCAGGCCCCTGCCCTCACACAGCCCACAGGCTGCTTTCATTGTTCCCAGGCGCTGTTCTGGAATAATGGTTTCACCTCTAGTGATAGAGCTGGCATTGAAGTGGGGCCACCACCAAGACGAAGAAGCCCGTCAGCTCCCTGACAAGAGCCTCAAATGCTGGAGTGATGCTTGCCAGATGCACTGCCATCTGGAACCTAACCCTTAGTATTTCAGGTTTAGACATTTGATTTTCATCTGTACAGAATACTGATTTTTCTTTTATTTTGAGAAAAATCTCAGATGGATTTTTCTTTTTGGGTGCTCATTAACCAAGCTTATAGTGACTGATGGACATAAATATTGATTTATTCATTTATGATAAGAAGTGTAACTATACATTTAGCCAACCTGCATCCTTGAAAGGCAGCTCAGTACATCCCCTCCCACAGATACAACTGTTTGAGAAATTGTATCAGTTAACTATTGCTGCATAACAAACCAACCCAATACTTAAACTGACTTGCAACAATAACAATTTAGTATTTCTCACATCATTTGGGCTGGCTAGGTGGTTCTTTAAGAAGCCCTGATGATGCAGTGGTTAAAACGCTCAGCTGCTAATCAAAAGGTCATTGGTTGGAACCCACCAGCTGCTCCTCGGGAGAAAGCTGTGGCAGTCTGCTTCCATAAAGATTTACAGCCTTGGAAACCCTATGGGACAGTTCTGCTCTGTTCTATAGGGTTGCTAGAGTTGGAATCCACTCGACACCAATGGACTTGTTTTTTGTTTGTTTTAGGTGGTTCTTCTATTGATTTCATCAGGGCTCACTCACACACCTGCATTCAGCTGGCAGGTTTGGGCGGGGCGCGTGGGGAGGATGGGCTCAGGTGGACCGCTGGCGCATCTTAGCATCTCCCCCTATGTGGTCTTTCCATCTTGAACTTCTTTATAGTATGGTAGCATCAAGTTTCCAAGAGGGCAAGAATGAATTGCAAGATGCTGAAACTCAGTGTCACTTCTGCCACATGCTGTTGGTCAAAGCAAATCATAAGTGTAGTTTCAAGGGGGTAGAGATACAGACACCACCCTGAATGGGAGAAGAGCAAGGTCACACTGCAGTAGGGCATACATACTGGGATGGGAGGAATATGTGGCCGTTAAACAATCTACCACAGAAGTCAAAGTTAATTGGTAGGTTGCTCAGTGCTCAGATCCCAGCTGTCTAACATCTCAGAATCTGGGGAGTTAGCTGGATGGTTGATATCTTTAGTGGCCTGTCTCTGTGAAAGCCAGATGCATCCCTCTTTAAGACAGGGCCCTCTCTGCCCTCAGCAGGACCAGCCTTCCCTCAGGTCAGACACTCCTGCCCCCAGGATAGTGCTAGACACCCTCCAGCCTGACTCTCTGGCTTTCTCTTTTCTGTGCTCCAGTCTGACTCGCCCCCTCTGGCTCTCACAGCCTTGCTCTAGGCAGGGAATTGCACAGCTGAGGAGATTGCCTTGCCAGACTGCCTTTACGTTGCACTCTGGCCTCTCGGGGATTGCATTCAGATCACCTGGAGAGGAGGGTCATATAAGTTCCCCAACACCATCACTCAGATCCTTTTGTTTTACTCTCACCCGTGGCTGACCTGTCCCATGTGTGTGGCTTTACTAGTTGAACTCCAGGAGGGTGTAAAATACTTGATCCAAAGTATGTGCTCCACAAATGTTCATTGAATGAACAAATGAAATTTAAGTGACTTGCTTAAGTTCACACAGCAATTAATAGAGCTAGGAACAGAATCTAGTTCATCTGAAGCCAGTCATTAGCCGAGTATCTACCCTGTAATTTCCTCTGGTCCCAGCTAAACTTAAGTAATCAGTGAATAAACTGAGCTAAGGCATGGTTAATCCAGCAATTTCCATTTTCTACTTGATCATACATGTTGACCCTAAGGCAGCCTGGGTTGTACAGAGAGACCCTGACTCCGCAAGTGACCAGATGCACTGTGCCACATCCAAGCCCCAAGGCCTGGCTGAAGTCATTCAGGACTTAGCTGTTGTTTCATCCTTCAACGAAGAGCCTCCACTGTAGGACGTAGGCTAGCCCATCAGACCTCTCCCCGCTAGGAAAATCCCCCTTCCCTTCAACAATGCAAGCACCTGCCCCTTTGCCTTCTGAAGAAATTTTAGCCCAACTGTGTAGAAGGGCCAATTCATGATAAGCTGATCTGGGACAGAGGATGAGAGGTGGGAGTAAAGAACCTCTGAGGCAAAGAACCACCTAGCCACCATTAATATCTTGTCCTGTTACTTCAGAGAACTTTGAGTGTTCGAGAATTAGCACCCCTCATGACCTCAGAGAACTTGGAACCAGACCCTGAACCCTTGGCGACATCTCCCCTTATGACCCTAGGTGTCTCTTTTGGCCAAGCCTCTCTAGAACAGATATTCTCTCTACCACATTCTGTAGGAAGGGTCTGTTGGCTCTTGGAAGCCTCAACTTCTTTATCATGAGGGCACTTGACTCTTTTTTTTTTTTTCAAGACAACCAAAGTATGTACACTTCCTCCCATATTTGAGATTCTTCCTGTGAAGTCACTGAAGGCCAGGAACCAGACACTGGCCCCACCCTTCCCGGAGCTGAGGTACCTTAGCCTGGCCTACAACAAGGTGAATTTCTCCTTCTCTACCTATTTCCTCAGGGGCACACATGGGAGGGTGGGCTGGGCTGCTATAGTCTGAAGGCCGACCCTCCCATTCCCAGTTTACAGGTGTGTGGGCTCAGGTAATCTGGGGAGGGGAGAGTGAAGGGAGTGCAGGCCAAGGTAGGAGTCCATCCATTCAGTCACAGATATTTGTTTAGCACTTACCGTTGCCAGGAGGCACTGGGTATACAATTACAAAAAAAGATTTGGCCTGTGCCCTTGTGGAGCTTATAGCCTATAGGGAAGACTGATTCTAGACAAATAATCACAGTATAAGCATGCTTAGTGTTATGAAGAAATACACAGTGCTATGGAGTACATGTCAGGGAATCTAACCTAATATTGGGGAACAGGGAAGGTTCTCAAGGAAGCAGTGTTTGAGATCTGAATCAATGAGTTTAGCCAGGTGAAGGATGAGGGTATAAGATGAAGTGAAAAATAGTGTTCTAGCCCAAGAGACCTGCAAATGTATAGTCCATGGGACATTTTAACAGTGAGGACCAAGTGTTTTCCCTATATTTTTCCAATATCCATGCCCTGTTTAATTTTCTGTAAACCCCACTAATTGAGCCTACTCAAGTCTGAAATGCAGGAAATTTTTAGATACTTTGCTTACATTCCTTCTAAGGCAAGCAGTTGGTACAACTAAGGCAAGCAGTTGGTACAGGTGTAAAAGAATGTTAAAATGGGATTCCAAAACTTCTTTATGCATTCATCTCTTGATGGACATTTAAGTATTTTTATTTTGGGCCGTTATGAATAAAGTTGTGATGATCATTTAAGGGTAAGTCCTTGATAGACATCTGTTTTCATTTCTTTTGGGTAAACACCTGGGAGTGTAGTTGCTGGATGTTAGATAGGTGTGTGTTTAACTTTAAAAAAAAAAAAAGGCAAAAAAACTGCCTAATTGTTTTCCAATGTGTTGTACCACTTTACATTCCCACCAACAATGAATGGGAGTTCCAGTTGCTCAACATCCTTGCCGACACTTGCTGTTACCAGTCTTTTCCATTGTAGCCATTTTAATGGGTATCTTGTGGTTTTAAATTTGATGTTGAGTATCTTATCATGTGCTTACTGGTGCTTCATATATTTTCTTTTATGAAATATCTATTTAAAATGTTTGCCTATTGTTTATTGGGTTATTTGCCTATTGAGACAGTAGAGTTCTTTATATATTCTGGACACAAGTCCTTTGTCAGTTATATGTATTACAAATATTTTCTTCATTTTGTGGCTTGCCTTTCTGTATTCTTTCAAAAGAATTTTTAATTTTGATAAAGTCCAATTTATCAATTTTTTTAATGGTTTCTGCTTTTTGTATCCTGAGAAGAATTTGCCTACCAAAGATCATAAAGACTTTTTCCTAGAAGTTTTATAATTTTAGCTTTTAAAATTAGGTCTATGATAAATTTGAAGTTATTTTTTATATATGATTTGAAGTAATATTCAATGTTCATGTGGATATCCATTTGTTCCAGCACCATTAATTAAAACGACTTCCTTTCCTCCACTAAATTGCCTTGGCATCTTTGTAAAAATAAAAAATCAGTTTACCATATATGTATGGATCTATTTCTGGACTCTGTATTCTGTTCCATTGATCTAGAGGTCTATTCTTTCACTAATAACACACCACTTTGTGCTTTTGGTGTTATCTTTAAGATTTTTGTGCTACAACAGCAAAGTTGAGTAGTTGTAACAGAGACTATATGGGCCACAAAACCTAGAACACTGTCCGGTCCTTAACAGAGGAAGTTTGCAAGCTCCTGGGCTAGCCATCAAGTGTTAGAGTCCCTCAAGGACCACTTCCTCCCCTCTCTACTCTCACCTTAGGGATAGCTTTAGATATCCATTGGCCCATGAATAGTGACTCACAAGTTTATAACTTCACTGTGGACATCTCCTGTACTTCAGACCAGTAGATCCACTGCCTACTTGGTACCTCTACGTGGAGGTATCGAAAGGACCTCCAAAGGGTACATATCCACAGTGAATTAATGATATTTACTTTCAAATCTGTTGCTTTTCCATTGTTCCCTGTCTTAGCGAATAGCTCCATTATCATCTTGTTTTACTCAAGCCAAAACCTGGTTGTCATCCTTGATACTTCTCTCATTTACACTACCACCAACCCCTTATCTAATTCATTCCCAAGTCTTGTCAAATTTATGTCCTCATATTTCTAAAATCCATCTAGTGAATTCCCCAAGGACCAAAATCTTTAACAAGTTTTAGTCTGACCCCACTTGCCTCTCCAGCCTCTTTCTAGGTACCATGCACCCTCTTTCTGTCTGCTTTTAGTCACGCTGTCCTTCTTTCAATTCCTTCAACAGGCTTTTCTTCTTTTTCCATGGGCTCTTTCCACATTGTTCTCTTTGCATGGAACGCTTTTCCTCTCTGCAGTAGTTAATAGTAGCTGCTGTAACAAACTTAAAAATCTCTGTCACTTAACATAATAGAAGTTTATTTTTTGCTCCTACGAAGTCCAGTGTGGATAGTCCTGGTTGGCAGTGCCCTTCCACATGACTATTCAGAGGCCCAGGTTCCCTCTAGCTTGTGGCTCTGCCATCCCTTAGGGCCTTAGAGTTCTTTATCGGATCCATACATCTGGTGGCTAGATGGTCAGGCTGAGGGAGGGTGGTGAGAGATGTAGAGGATCCTGTGGGAGGTTTTGAAGGGGCTGTGCCTGGAAGTGGCATTTATCACTTTTACCCATGTTGCATTGGCTAGAACTGAGTCACATGACTACATCTAGCTGCCAGGGAGGCTAGGAGATAAGAGTCTAGCTGTGTGCCCCAAAGGTCAAGGAAATGGTTTAATAAATACCAGCTGTCTCTGACACAGACTCCATCCCCTACACATTCACTGTTACCTCCTACCCATCTTTCAGATCTCAGGGACACACACCTCCTCTTACCTCCCTCACTAGGTCAGGTCACCCTAGTACTTCGTGTACTTTTCTTTTGTTTTGTGGTACTTGCCACAATTGTAAACCTACTCTCCTGTGTGTTACTTTTTCTTCAGTGCTTGTTTCCCACTGGGCAGTCCTCCTTGAGGACGGGAATAATATCTGTTTTGTACATTCCCAACATAGTACTTGGCACATGGTAGGCATTCACTAAATATTTGTTTATTTAATGAACAAAACTGAAAGAGAATGTATAATAGCCCAGTGGAAGTCTAGTGCTACCCAGTGTAGCTCCAGGGAAAGCCAAACTGAAGTGCCCAACCTCTTCCAGCCCTTGAGAGAGCCTTCCATGGCCTGCATATGACCAATACCTCATTGCCCCACTCCTAGCCCCTCAGATGGCTCTGATACTGTTCCATTGCTAATAGACACCTTCCCTAAGATAGTCCCTAGATGTTCCAGCCACTCTGATCAGCAAGGATTGTGTATTTTTTGCCTGTCAGAGGCTGGCTTGGCCAACCAACCACCCCTTGCAGCCTGGCTTCACAGGGTGGAGTGGCCTCTGGGCCCCAAACAGCCATGAGGTCTCCTTTACCACTGGCCCTGATTATCCCTTAGTTGGGTGGGTCCCCCTAACCTCCTGTCCCTCCCCATTCAGTGCCCAGGACAGGCCTCAATGAAGGGGACCATCAGCAGTTCTGTTGACAAACTGAAGGGGTGTGTAGTAGCTTGTATTGAGGAAAGTGAAGGAAGTGTCACACAGATTATAGTCTGAAGTCAAAGTCAGTGCCCAGCCAGATTTCCAGACTCCTTGTGAGAAAAGTGCTATATAAGTGCTTGTTCTTATTGTTTTGTCACCAATATCCCCAATAGTTGGTGTAGGCTACGTACCCATTGTGAAGAAGGGAGAAGAGTTCTTAACTTTCTAACATGAACCAGTAGTGGAATTTCAGACAGGAGGGGCAAGGCATTCTGGGTGTGAGCAGGGGAAACTGCAGGGATAAAGCACTCCTTAGCAGTGAGCCCACCTATGGCAGTATCTCTTTCCCACTCACCCCGACCCTAGCAAATATAGAGCCCTGCGGTGTGGGGCCTGGAAACACCTGGCAGAGGCAAGGGGCAGCACTGACTGATACTCTTTCCTGCATTTGTTGCAGATCATGAGGGAGGATGCTCTGCTGCCGGTAGCTCTCTTCCCATCTCTCTGCGAGCTCGTCTTTCATAACAACCCTCTGGTGGCGCATACACGAGGTACAGTGCCCACAAACCTGGTTCTACCCACCCCGGTGCCCTAGGAGCAGTGTGGGCACCCCCAGCCCCACACCACTTGTGCCAGGCCCTGGCTTTTCTCTGCCTCATGGGTGGAAGAGGTTCATGGTGTATTGGGGAATGGAGAAGACAGCAGGTACTGCTGAGCACTTGCTCTCCACCATCCTGACAGCAACCTGTAAGGCAGGCATTATTGCCCCCATTTCACAGTGAGGAAACTGAGGCTCGGAGAGGTTTATGATCTGCCCAAGGTCATATGGCATGAAAGAGGCAGAGCTGGGAATGGCATACAGAATTATCTAGATCCTGTGTAAGCTTTTTAAGCTATACTCTGCCCTGTGGAACAGGTCTGTTGTGGCCTCTTTCTCTGTTTCCCAGTTAGGAAGGAGTGCAGGGCCCAGCTCAGGTCCTCCCCTCCCCCAGCACACTGACTGCAGTGGCTGCTACATTGGCAGTGGAGCCTGCTGTGCAAGATGCAGCAGCTGGAGGCATGGTAGAGTCCTGGGCCCTGGAGTGATGCCAGTGGAGTTCTAATCCTTGTTCTACACGATCATTGTTGCCTTGGGCAAATTCCTTAACCTCTCTGTGCCTCAGTTGCCTCACCTACTGAATGGGGATAATATAGGTACATAGCTCCTAGGGCTGACATGAGAATAAGTTACATTAATAACATGGAAAGTAATTTGAACAGTGCCTGGCACATGTTAGGTCCCCGGTAAACATGGGTTAACATTAATCTTATCATTTTCCCATCATGGCACCAGGGGTCCCTCCACTGCTAAAGAGTTTCCTCCAGGAACGACTGGGGATCCACTTAATTCGAAGGAAGATAGTAAAGCCTAAGCATCCACATATTTTGATGCCTCGAAAGGACACGCGGAAGGTAAAGCTTCCAAGCGCAAGACTCTCAACCCCAGGCGGAGTGGAGCCTATTCTGATGTGTGCCAACTGACCTGGAGATAGAGCTACTCTAGCCCCAGTGCCTGGAAGCCTTCCATTATGTTCATATTGTCTTCTGTGGTTGTTCTGTTAAATACAGATATACCCAAGGAGGGGTAAGACAATCAGTCAGAGACCCCAAAAGTCAAAGTAGGCAAGAGCCTTGGAGGTCACTGAGTCTGACCCCCTAAGTTTACAGAAAAACTGAGGCCCAGAGAAGGAGCTGTGGGGAGAGCACTAGCCTTAAGTCAGAGGACCCAGGTACAAGCCTGACTCTGTCACCTTCCATAGCTGCCTCACCTTGGGCAAGAGTTTCACCTCTCTGAGCTTTAGTTTTCTTACCTCAACCTCTCAGAGCTGCTGAGAGGACTGGATGAGACAACAGATATAAAAATACATCATAAAGCCCAAATCCCCAGGCCAGTCAAGTCATAATCATCTATGGTGATCATGAATGCTGCACCAGGGCTAGACTGAATCTTAAGGAAGTGCTTCCTCATGCTGAAAGAAATCTGCTTTCTCTGTAACTCTTCCAGCCAGTGGTCTTAGACTTGCCTTTTGGGATGCCATAATGTAAGTCAAATCCCTCTCCCATCTGGAGAATCAGAAATTCCTGTGAAATGTTCCTACCTCCTGAATTTGACTCTTCCTACAGTCAGAAGCTGGACTGGGTGTTACTGATCCCAAAAGTTAAATACAGTCTTTCCCTCACCACTCCCTCCACAGCTCGCCTCTGTCCAGCCAAGGTCTTATCTGGAACTCTTTAGCTGGAGCCCTCAGAGGATGAGAGCAAGCAGTTAAAACGAGAAATAGAAATAATTCAAAGTGTTTCCATCATCCTCCCCCTTATCTGTCACCCCTCTGAGGATCCTACTACCTCCCTTCCCCATCAGCCACCTGGGGACATAGCCAAATCAGAGTGAGCCAGACACTGAGTACATTTACAGTATGTTCCCCTTTACAGAACACCC